AAACTAAACTAAACAAATAATTATTATATATATATATATATATATATATATATATATATATACATACATATATATTGCTAAAATATTTATTCATAATCTTAGAATATTACAATGAATATTAAATTATATTAGTAGTATTTTAATAGTTATATAATATATCAAAATTTTATAATTCTTCACATTTTAAAAATAAAAATAGAAATTTAATTATTTAATTTTAAATTTTATGTTATTATAATTTTTTTATAGTATTTTCTTAATTTTAATTTATTTTCAAACATGTATAATAAAAATTTATATTAATTATTATATTATTTATAAAATCTTAATATAAAAATCATATGCAGTAATTATTATAATTATTTATATAAAATAAATATTTCAAAATTTTGACAGAATTTATTGTGAAACTATATTGTACATAAAAATAAAAAAAAATCAAATGATATTTTACTATATCATTATTTAATGTTTCTTACTATAATTCAAATTATACAAATTATACATTTAATAAAATCATGGGAGATTATGAGACAAAATTGTCAAGTCTATATACTGAGAAATTAAAAATCTTAACACTGTTGCCAGATTTACATTTTTTATCTAAATTAGCTTATAAAAATATGAATATATGAAAGAATAATTTCTTACCTTCATGAAAAATCAACAATTTCAAAATGTTAATAAAATGCGCGTAAAACAATTCTTTATTTTAAAAATCAATCACATTGAAGATCAAATTTCAATTAACATTTAAACTAATATTTCAATCTCGTATCATTCATATATCGTCTATATGTCATCTAATCTTCATTCATGACGTCATCATTTCCTTAGAAAGTAATGATAATATAACACAATTGGTCTACGCCCGAAGTTAAAGTGATGCTTACGTAGAACGATATATACAATTTGTACAAAAATGCAATCAATCAAAAAATGTTTATTTCAAAATATTATATGTGTTAGATTATTTCATTTTTAATAAATGTATTCATCCTTATTGTATTTAATATGTATTTATTACAAATATTTATTGTTTTTGTAAATGTTATACTTATGAAACATGAGTATTTTTGAATCTTATTTCAGTTTGAAATGTGTATTAAATCGTGAATCGTAAAAATTGTGATAGTTTCAAATACTTCAATAAAATGAATCCAGAAATTATCGTTTTAAATGATTCAAATGAATCTGATATATCTGTTGAATTAAATGATAAATTAAAAAATATTAAAAAAAAAATAAAAAAAAATTTTTAATTCGATGACTATGATTCAAGCGATTTTGAATTTCCCGAAATACAATTCTATCATCTCATTACTGAAAATAATGAAGATGAATTACAGAATATTTATAATAAAGATTCACTTACTTCTAATATTCATGCATCATCATATCAAACCAATGATAAATATACTGTTAATAAAAATTTAAAACAATATAATATGATTGGAAAGTCTTTATATATTGACAATAATTCATTTACTTCTACTAAAAATTACGATGAACAAAATAAAAACAATTGCAAAACAAAAAAAAAGAAGAAAAAAATTCAACAAATGATGAAAGAAAAAGCATTAAAAACAATTGCAATTAAAAAATCAAAAAATATAAAACCTGGTGAATGTTTGAAATTTATGGAAGTTGTTATTGATAAAGGTATTGAAAATTTTTCTTATATTACAGATATAATAAGTACATTATTAAATACCAATTTGCAATATAGCATTAAATCACAATTCATTTCAAATAGTATTACATGGAAAAGAATATCGAAAATCATTATGTTAATGAAAATAATGAAATATGTACTATAACAAATATTGAAAATATTGACCAAATATTGATAATTTGGAATTGGGATGAAACAGTAATAAAAATTGCAAATGATAGTTTTTGTACATCTATTTCTGACATCAAATCTTTATTACCAAATTACAAAATAATATTAGTAATTTTTGGAATAGAAAATTATTTTGCATATAAAATGCAAGAAAAAAATTCAGATAAAAGTGAAACAAAAAACAAAAAACAAAAAATTAATACTAAAAATAATCTTGAATATAAAAACTTTGTAGAAATATCAAGAAGACAATTTGAAACATGTCTCAATGAAATACAAATTGCTGCAGATTGTAGCAGTAGATTAATTAATAATTCTCAAGATTTAGCATTAATGATATATCAATGTACAAAAGCTATAGCAGAAATACCATATAAATTAGAAAAAAATAAAAGTTTAATAAACAAATTTAATTGGTACATACTAGGAGACAATAGAAATACTGTAAAAGTAGATAAAGATGGAAATGGATTAAAAAGATTATGGCAACAACAGCTTTGTCAATTTAATTTGAGTAGTCTTGAAATTGCAGAAGCAATTTGTTCTGTGTATCCATGTCCTGCAGATTTAATAGAAGTAAATATTAATATATAAGAAACACATAATATAATTTCTTTTTAATTTTATCTATCTTTTTATTTTTTAGATTTATATAAACTGTACAGATGATGAAGGAATAAATTTATTGAAAGATATTCCGGTAAATAAAAAATTTTTATTACAATATTCTGACTAAATAAATTTTCAAAAATAAATTAATCTATATAATAAATTAAAAAATTATTAAAATTTAATATTATTTTTCTAATTATTTCTACTTACATTTCATAAATATGTTTTTAACATTTTACAGATTAGAAGAGCAGCTGGACCTCTTACTGCTGTACGTAAAGTTGGTCCGGAATTAAGTAAAAAGATTTATTTAATGTTTACATCTAAAAATGGTGAAAGTGTATTAAGTTGAATATATTTTTTAATAAAATTTAATAAAGTACAAATAGAAATGTCATAGAAATGTCAGTTAGCAGATGGCTTTATATTATTCCATTTTCATTTATGTAATGTTTAACTGAAAAGTTATAATGAATTTACTATTTTATTTTCTTTTTGTTTTTTATGAATATAAAAATCTAATAAATTATTCATATCTATGTATTATACAAATGAATAATATTATATAAAAGTTTTAATATTTTTTTATGCATTAATTATGTAAAAATCTAGCGCATAATTTGACTGAAAAAACCAAATATCAACCATATAATCAACAGAAATGTTTTATTGTTGTACAAATATATGGTTTTTGTTTATAAGTTATTTATCAGTCTAATTTTGCGCTAAATATTTTTAGATATCTTACATAATATGAAATTTAACAGATTTACTATACCAAAGATATATACATTTGTTTACAGTAAATTTAACTATGATAGTCGGTTAATAAAAGTAATTTTCTAACATTTTTACAAGTATTTATTAAACATAAAGTATCTAAAAATCTGTTATAAAAAGAAAAAATTTTAACCATTTCATATTAATTTTTTTCTGTTATTTTACAGTAAAAAATATATAAATGATTAAATGCAATCTAAATGAAAATGTTCGTAAATATTCAATATAACTTCTAAATTATTATTAATTGTATACAGACTAATATTACATATAACTCTCGCATGAATCTTTTTTTACACGCATTCCTCATACATTTGTTTCTCACTGTTTAAAATCATACGTTATTTAAAAAAAAAAAAATTTGATAATTGTTATAATCAAAGATATAATTAAATTTCAAATAAAAATTTTATACAAACATATTTATATATGTATTATGTATATTTTAAGATATATCATTTTAATTAATTACTACTAAAATTTTTAAAATCAGTATTCAAATAAAAATTAAATTTAAAAATTAAATGACAAAAATTATTTTTTTCTATTAAAACAATTTTCTCTAACTTTTTTCTGAAATTAATATGTATTCCATATTATAAAAGAAATGTTTATGAAATATAAACTACTATTTATTATATATAAATCAAATAAAAAGTATAGTATGAAAATTTAGTGAATTAGTTTTAAAGTTTTAAATAAAGCATTTTATATTATAATTAAGAATATTAAATGATACTTTTAAGTTTCTTTTTCTGTTAACATGCATTTTGCAAAATGAAACATATAAACATCCGTGTTTATTCCATAAAATTAATTGATTAAAGAATATCAATCTAATTTTTATATAACTATATTATTTGTTTTTATATACTTTACTATTTATACTTATATAATATACATTTTTTATTTATAGACATAATACACAAATTTGTTGTTATCATAATTTACAAATTTTAAAATATAATTAATATTAAAAATAATTTTTTATAAATGCATGTTGACAGTTAGAAGATACTTATTGCATTATATGTAACATTGATATTAATAAAATATTAAAAGAAACTGAAATTTTATAATTATAATAATAATAATAATGATGATGATGATGATAATGATAATGATAATAATAATAATAATAATAATAATAATAATAGTAATAGTAGTAGTAGTAGTAGTAGTAGTAGTAGTAGTAGTAGTAGTAGTAGTAGTAGTAGTAGTAGTAGTAGTAGTAAC